GTGCTAATATTTGTTTAGAACCGTTGTTACCCAATCACTTCGTTCTGAATTCGATTGTGGTGCGCGTCTCTTTACTTTTACTCTACAGCCATTCAGCAGCAAACCTAGTTAGGAAATTAGGTTTGGATCTTACACTTACATATTCCTTTTTTCTTTATCACGACGGCTGGAAAAGACGATAAAAAGAACGATAAAGTTTGCGAGTAACCGAAATTTTGATTGCACTTTGTTTCCTTATTACTATTTTGTACTTCATGGTCTCTTATAATGAGAAAAGACGACTTGATAGGTTGTTAAACATAGCAAGCTATTAGAAGAGTATTTGCTAACGACAAAATCGTTAGGTTTAAACTTCTGGCAGGCCGCGTCGTAGGGTCATCACTACCTCATTAGGGGGGAGCGATCTTTAGCGGAAAAAAATCCCAAAAATCAATAGCTCTGTTAGTGTTCGACATTGGATGATGACCAGATTAGTTTTAATGGACTCATCCAACTGAAGGCGCTCGGTCACGCATCCACACCAGATCATACGTGGGAACGCCGTGCTCAATTTTACCTGAGATCACAAGCCAATTTAGATCAGTTACTTCTCGACATATTGATATTCTATCAAATATATCTTCTGACCTCCTTGCTTTTTCCCTTTGATTTCACTGGGTGGATACGATTAAATTATAGAACATGTTGCTGGTAAAGTGATGTCAAACTTCAATACCTGTGGCATCCTCACAGGTACAGTCCATTCTTACGAACATGATCAAACTGAAGATCCCGTAGGTTCATTGATTTTTAACTAAGCGATCTTCTAAACTGTGCATATAATTACTGAGAATAGTCGCGCTCAACATGTATCGTGAAGAGAAAGCCAGCAATGGTAAATGTGGCAACAATTAATCGAAATGGTATGACTCGGCCATGCAGGTGTGGTCCCTCTATATAACGTGTTACATTTTGTACTGAACATAATACTCGCTACCTAGGTCAAATGCATTCTTAAGAAGTACTTAAAGTCCTATCGCTGATTGTCATGGTGGCACGAGTCAGTGTAGACGATGATGTGGCTTCCACGCAAGGTCATATAGATTAGATGGTAATGTCATGATATTTCTATAGTTTTGGGAGCAGATCTATTGTTATCATAACAGAGATAAATGTACTAATACTGGACTAGTACATAATCGCACGCAACCATTCGAAGTTGCCCGATGAGATAGTCAAAGACAACGCTGCAATAACTAATTCTCTTCGCTAGGGAGACGAAAACCACTCCACTACTTTATTGGTTGACAGACACGCGAGAGATAAGGTGTATTGACTAGTATATTCGATTCCGATTCACAATCTGATTGAGTTCCGATCCAGATAAGTACAAAAAGATACACGAATAGTGAGGATGACAAACACGACTACAACTCACAAACAATTAGGGAAATACAACTATGTTTAAGACTGGATACGAGGGTGGAAAATATAGTACAAAGGTATATTATTAAACTACAATAGCTTTGAAACATAAAAGGGTGTGGCGGTGAATCATACATCAAACAGACGCTTATGGTATGTAGAATAAACTAACGATAAAAATAAATGTTAGTTTTTGGTAAGCTTTGAGTTCAGTGAAAGAACGTCCCAAAAACGAGCTTCGGTTGTCTGCAATGGCTTCTTTGTTCCTCTGCTCGCATCAAATTCCCTACTCCTAGTAAAGCTAGCGAACACGACAGAAATGGAAGAAACGGGTGTTCCAAACTGACCATGTTCTCTGTTACCACTGAGAGAGAAGCATGATAAAAAAGATAATAGTATCGCATTCTTGTCGCTCCTTTAAACCAGTACTTTGGCATTCTGGCTTCACTACTGATATGATAAACAGTATTTAAGGAATCATATGGCTTTATGTTAAATCACTCTTGTCGATATTTGGACGCGCTGCCGAGAAAATACACTTACGAGAATAATAAAAGAGAGGCGTATAGAAGCAGCGAAAATAACCGTAGCAATCCACACCAGTATATCGAATTCGTCGGGCACAAACTCAGACAAACACGCGACTATAAGAGCCACACTTGGGCTCATACACAAATTTAATTACGGAACTTCGCTAGTAAAACAGCATGCGGTAACATTAAGGAGCAGTGCGTGAATATCGGCAAAGAGAATGACAAAACCTATCTCTCAATGTGCTAAAAATGGGGCATAATGACAATAGACAATACTCCCTAATCTTATTTGGTGTTCCAGATAGTAGCTTGTTGGGAGGTACGGTAGCCTTTGATAAAAAAAGTCGTATAAATACTATGAAATACTGAAAAGAGCATCACTTCAGTCAAATTATGCTACTTGTATAGAAGCTAAAGTGTAAAGAAAGGTAAACTTCCTCTGTTAAAAGTAACTTGATATTTACTAAACGTTATAAAATAGTTTTACTGACACCCCAAAGACCGTCAGCTAGGCGACCCTTCAATTCCAAGGTAGACAACAGATCATGAGCCGCAAGAGACTGCGTTGGGAAGTCATCAAGAAAACCAAGAATCAACAAGCGTGTTGAATCACGTATTGTTTCAGACGGTATATAGTAGTCGGAGTCACAACAGTGGCTTTGGCTATCACATAGCATAGGCATCCACATCATCACGGTAATTAGTGTATCTAGGACAACTCATTTCACAACCATTAAAGCGGCTCAGCTATTAGCTGTGAACCTGTAAGACCAAGATGGCCAAACCACGTCCATTCATACTTGATACAGCTCAAAGAATGACCTTTATAGACACCAGATGTCGTGAGAGCCGACTCAGATGCAAAAGTCTACGGCAGAAAAGCCAAAGGAAACAAATCTTGGTATCCTTAGACCTTGATCAATTGTCCGGATTACATGACACAGAGACCAATGTACATCTGATGGTGCATGCTATCTATTCAAAAGCTTATAGTAGCCAATGCTCACAGAACATGCTGATCCACCTTAATCTAAAACCAACCCAGAAACCAGGGGACAGTTGCTGTTGTAGAGGAGCATCAGATGCTGAGACAAACTATCAGTAACCCTATGGCAACGTATGAGGACTACAGGGTAAACTAGGGGAAATGAGAAACCTGTTTTTCTAGTAAGACCTGAAGGTTACAGCCCTAAATGGTTATTGTCGGACAACATAGATGTAGTGAACTCTCAAGACATGACAATTTCTAAATACGAAGTGGCATGAAAAACAGGAGGTGTAGTGGAAATGTACACAAACGTCAACTTCAAAGGCCTTACACTACACAACACTGAACTAACCGAGATAACTGAGTCATACAGGCATTGCATCGATGCCTTTTTTAGAAGAATGTATTGACCCCTCGGAGGTTCTGAAACCCAAGGAGATAAAATTATTTAGACGATGTGCACAATACAACACCTGTTGTTGTGCCAGATACCACTGTTTGACGACTTCAACTTTCCGTTCCTAAATCTCGGCAGGCAGGAAATAAACTCTTTGTGGTGGTATCGTAAGCGGCTTTTCACGGCCTTATGAAATTCAAGACAAACTGAGTATGCGGATAGCGCACATGAGCTGAGGTGATGATGGAAGGTGCTGTAACTTAGATTATTTGCTAACAAATGATCAGCTTGTAATTGAAGGTGTCCATGTCCAAGTACCTATAAGGAGCAGTGACCACGACACTGCTATGTTTGACGTGACCACAAATGAGAATTTTGGGTGAGACGAGAATGTTCCCCTTCCTAGCTACCCTGGTGCAGACTATATGGTGAAGAGTGAGCATCTTCAATACGTCCCGTGACCACGGTAGTGTTGAAAAATATGAGTGGAGTTGGTGGGGGACATCATTCAGAACAATATCCGACACAACGTACCACAGATCAAGCATACATCCGAAACATGAAAATCCTGTACGAAGAGGGGTAAGAAACGCTTGCTACAAGTTGGACGTAGAGCCCGGCACAAGTGTCAGGTTTCCTTGATGGAATCTGATAGTAGCGCATTACCATCATTGAGAAACAGATGTGATGCTAAGATCCGAAGCGCTAGATATTTTCAGGCCAAATAGGCAGCCTAAACACAGGCCAATCTAAAATGCTTCTACAGATGCATGGCAATGAGAAAGCCCATAAATCAAGAGATCTGTACTTTTAAAAATTCAAGTGTCGAAGATCTGAGTAATCTAGAGATGTCTAAAATTTTTAATGCCAACTTTTTAGACTAACCAAAACGGGAGCACACAAGCTCAGAAAAACCCTCAATTCTAGAGCCAGTTGAGGGTCAAGGAAATATTTGACTGACTAACAGGTTAGTGTCAAAGAGACTGTGGTCCTTGAGCAAAGGAAACTCACCAGGATGTAACAACACCCAACCTGTAATCCTAAAAGGTGCCTAGAAGCCATCAGCACACAGTCGTGTAACCTGTTCAGGCACTCACTAGATTTCAAAAAACTTACAGACGAATGGAAGAAGACCTCTCTTTCTACGTTCTTTGAAGTGCTATATAGAAACGACCCAGCCTGATACTGACCAGTTTCAATACTCACAATACTGTCGAAGGTAATAGAGGTACTGGCCAGCAAACAAAAGAGGGAATACATGGGTGAAAACATCATCCTTCATGAAGATTTACAGAGGTTCAGGAAAGGCAGGTAATTGGCATCTAATATTTTCGTAGCATAGGAGAGTTGAATGACCAGATGATACCGGATGCTCGATTTTTCAAAAGCTTTTGACACTGTGCCTCATGTACTTCTCATAGCTAAGGTTGCAAAGATGGGTTTGACTGACTTTTATTCTGGCTCCTTAACTGCCCAGAGAAGACGGTGTTTCGTACTAATGGGAAAACGCTGTGTAAGAGTTATACGGTTTCAACATTATTAGTTTAACAAGACACAGTCGTATGCTTACAAATTACCAACAAATTAAGTTAATTATTCTTGAAATGGTCGTCGCTTATCACCTGAATCGTCACTTTTTTATTTTCAGATTGCAACCTGCCTGGTAATACGGTAGTTACTAAAATCGAGAAATCCTACTTTCCTGAGACTGACGCACTACAAGATATAAAAATCGACAAACAACTAGTACTCTGACTAAAATTAGTTAAGTCTAGTGACGATTACCCATCGGGAACCCTCATATACTTCAAGCTGTATCAGATCAACAAGATACGAGAGCAAAAAAATTAAGTGCTTTATACAAGCTCGTGACATAGATATTGGATGCTGAAAACTATAAGTTCTCTCCTTGAGGTCATCCCGCACAAAACAAAGTTGGATCCACCTTTCGTGTGCTGTAATACCTAGCAGTCAAAATACATAAATGGCATCTGCAATGAGAGATGAAAAGGGATACCCCCCTACCGATAGGTATTCAGAAATTTCTGTAACATTTCCAGATATAATTTGGTGTATCTAATATTCTTTATGTGTGGTGTGGGAGGGCTCTTACCATGGAACTTCTTCATTAATGCACAACGGGTACGTTGATTAAATGTCTTCACTCCTCAGTATTTTGATTACAAAATGAGAGATAGGACTCTCCCTCCAGATGCTGATTACACAGACCCTAAATATATGACCCGTTCTCAAGTTCTGTTTGTTAGCTATTTGGCAGTCTGCTCTTTAGTTCCTTTTTCCATCATGATGGTTGCCAATTTACTGCTAATGAAATGGTCAGATATATATCTATGTAATTTACTCTGTTGTAGGTTTTCATCGTTTTCCCGATTTGCTGTTGGTAGTGTATTGGTGTTCATCGTGTTTCTCTTCACGGTTATCCTTGTTTATATTGATGTCAGTAAGTTACACTACTCTGATATTTATTTTAGGTGCTCGTGCATTTTTGGCCATGACGCTTATTTCGGTCGTGTTCCTTAACTGTAATCTATTTAGCTTTGTAATGTGATATTGTATAGGTGGTAGTGCTCTTGCTCAAGGTAGCGTATTTGGTGTAGCAGCCATACTTCCTTCCAAACATATTAAGGCTGCTTTAGAAGGGCAGGTAAGTCCCAGTATTAACGTCTTACAGACAGGCAAATTTTTACATTTCCTAGTCTTTGAATGGTTGTCAGTGAGACTATAATTTATAAACAACTGTTAAGCTACTCCAAAGCGACTTTAAGAGAATTCGCCAACCTACTATGGTCTGAAGAGAGTTATGGATTAACTTGAGAAATGAAAATTAACATTTGAGCCGGAATTCGGGGTTAGGAATTATAGTTAGGGTTTCATAATGAACTTACATCGGCTATAATGCCAAAGTGCTATGGCTAAATGAATTTCACGCTAAAATCCATATTCACTGTCTTATATTTGTTTGATTCGTCCATAAACTAAAGTCTCACCGTTATGTTTTTTCGCAACAGAAATCGCGTCCAAACTGTACAAAGTTGTTATAAAATAATTTCATTAATTATTTCCGTTATAATTCGTAGCTGAGAATGTTGCTTTTTTAAAGAAATATACGGGTTGGGTGCCACAAAATAGCTTTAACATATGTGTGTAAGATATTGGAAAATGTTGCGATTATGTGGAAACGTTTTTCTGTGTTTAATTATATTTTAGTTAACTGCTTGGATTAATCGTAAGAGGTATAGTTTCAATCGGTTCAGTTGGTAATTGTTTAATTAGGACGTAACAAGTCAGCTGTAATAAGTTTATCTCACTGATGACTACCGCTCTTCAAAGGTTCATTAGCACTTAACTTCACTTTCAATCTAAAACGTTCAATGTTGTTTACAGGATAATAATGAAGTCTAATTTACAAGATGACATGTCACATCTTTCAAAGGTATACAATATAACTTGTTGTACGTACACCTAAGTTTGATACTCCGTGTTTTAATGTCGATTATATGTATATAGGATTATAAGATATACCAAGGCACATTACGTATATCTTCACTTTGTATCCTTTGAGTCCTTGGGAGTTTTGTGTCTCATGTATTTATTATTGAGTACATTATATGAGATTATTTTACTCTGTATAGTCTGTGTAATTTTTCAGTTAATATCTAGACATCCACTCCTCCGATATCGTGTGCCTCTTGTCGTGTTTTAAACCTGCTTCTACGTCGAATGTCGTTTTTATTTCAGGCTGTGTCTGGTATTATTGCATCTCTGGCCAACATTATATCTATTGCGACTTCTTCCTCAGTGACCACTAATGGATTAGTTTACTTTTTGGTTGCTCTAGTTTTCATCACCGCCACAGCTGCTATGTTCTTGGTTCTTCCTAAAATTGTAAGTTCTTATGCTTGTACGTATATACATACATGAGTTGTATAACTGTTATCCTTCATAAAGGTGTGAAGATGGTACTGAATGTGACTAGAGTCTTATTTAAAACGTTTTTATATGTAGCCATGTGAAAGTACTCTCATTGTGTTCTGTGCACTGGTAGGATGGGCCGTTACTTATTTGTGCCGCGTCATTAGTTATCTACGATTAGGTGGTGTATTGTCGTATTGAATTAGTATTATCCACTTTTAATCCAAACGAGAACTTCTGGACTTTATTATTCAATTCTAACACTACATTTCTGGGTCGAACTCAATAATCAAAAGTTGCATGATTTCACTGTCACTGGATTCAAACATAGGTTATTTTTCCGAAAGTTAAATTGGCGTAACTTTTTTTTAGGTCGTTCACTTCATGGATCACGAAGTATTTATTTCCTTTCGGAGAAAAAACAGTTACTTGTTTCTTTGTCGATTATTTCTTAACCAGATACACATTCTATGGTTAATTTTAGTCAAAGTGAGGAATAACCTCAAATATTTGATTTTAAGATTACAAAGGGTCTAAACTTATTGGAGTGAGTAATAATATTATCATCTAAGTATGTTCTTGTATAATAGAAAAGCTAGCTTTACTGCTTGGGTGTAAATTTCTGAATGTTCATTTGGTAACTTGGTGATTGAACAAAGCTTATTTTACGTGCAATATAGTGAAAATAAGTGATCTGGATGCATATGTTTACAATTTTATGAATTAAGCAGAACTAATGTGTAGAGATTCCGCTGCGAAAGAGCGTCTCCATGGTTCAATCACATAAGATGTTCAGCTAAACGTTGATGGTGGAGAGATGGCCTATTAGTTTAAACACGATTACAGTTCGGAACTCTGCTTGATGCATTTTGATTTGGGAAGTTAAATACTATCACTTGCTTTATATAAAAGAATGACTAAAACCAAGTAAACAAAACGGCACTTATTTATAAAGTTGTGTTGGATCACTTGACTACACTGAAAAAGAAGAATGGATCTAAAAAAACACTTTTTATGAACTTATTATCGGGCTGTATTCAATTTAATGTTGTAATTCTTAATTGTTGCTTGGTGACTGTTCATCGAGAAACGCAAAGCAATCAGAAAGCTGCATCAGGGCACAAATATGTGTTGTGTTGTGCCATACTTAATGGGAGACTAGAACGGAAATTTTTGCTCAAAGTATCATATCTGCTAATTTAAGCGCCGTGCCTCGGGAAGATAATTTGAGTAAACAGAGGACATAATAATCAATTGAAGAGGTATCTACCTCAATAGTCTAATATCAATGTTATAATCACTTGAATTAGTTAGAAGTCACCGAATGGCTTCGTAAATCAATTATCTTATCAGCATGAAGAAACAATTTAAAATACTACCTGGGATTCGACATCACTAGATTAAGCTCTTTTCATCAAAATTTGTGATAATTTAAGACTGGACCTTGGTTTTTGTGGCAAAGTATAGTTCCAAGTCACCTTGTTCACAAAATCTAGAAAGGCATAGGGAATTTTCGGAAGTAGAGTTTTAAATTACACAATTCCTATTTTAACGGCTGTATACAATAAATTATATAACATTGTTGTTCAATAAAGCATGTTACTTCACATTGTGATTTCTTTGGTAAATTAACTTGCATGATTTTACTAACAGTGAAGGCGTACAAATTCTTTTTGAGAAACCTATACAATCACAAAAATTTATGAACAATTTGTAGATTTTTGTAGAATTCTGTGGCTTTACGCACTTGCTTATGGTTGATAGATTATCAAAAACATCGGAAGCACAGTTATACCGTTAGCTTTTGATTTTAAGGATTTTCTTATTTTGTGTTGAGAAAAATGAATTTAGTTATGCTTACGTCGACTAGGACTTATTCAGTGATTAATCGTTCTTTGTATTCGATGTTCATTTATTTATCTAAACACAAATATTGGTACAAGGGGGCACCAGATATATATGCGCCACACAAATCAAATGTGATTTGTGTGAGGGCTGTGATACTGCCCAGGTGCCCAAACTAAAGCAGGTGGTTTTCTTAGGGGACCCCACCCCGAGCCTTTGACCTAAAGACCTGACCCACAAGGCAGAGGAGCATCGTGAGAAGATGCAGTCTCATGATAACCGGTGACTAACGATTGATTCATGCGCCATTTGTCTCTTCAGAGTACTGAAGCCTATGTGCACCATTGGTTTGGAATCAGGGTTTTCCAACTCCTATAGGTGAACTTTCCATGTTCACTGGTCCGGTTAAAGCGCCGGACATTCGCTTTTCGTCCTCTCAATTTTGCAAACAGCCCTGCCACACACTGAGTAGGCTTCCCTGTCAGAGGCTATATACGTGTGGCCATGTGAGAGCATTTGGAGAGGGAGAGCTGACTCTCCCCACTCTTGGCCGTACCAGGACATTTGGGGGCCTGTATTCGATGTACTTTTTATGGTTTTTATTAAGGTGACAACTGACGTTAAAATACAATTACATTAGATGGAATTGTCTCGGCAACTAAGTAATCATTATAATCATACTATTTGATTCAAGTATAGTATTCGGAAGCAGTCTCATTTGTTACGTCATATTTTAGTAGAAAACATCTTTCAATTAAATTCATTCCCAAAAATGCGAATGTTTCGTAAGTAAAAACGAAGTAATAACAGCACTGACTTCATAAGCACTAGTGGGGTGTGTGCTCATCAGTGACATCAGATGATGGTAGGATTATATTACTAAACAAATTTAAAATGACAAACGTGGACTTGATTCTTACTTACAGGCTAAATTATATAGTGCTCATTGTATAATCCAGAAGTTATTGATTCATTCCGGTTTTATATTGTGAGTGCTCACTCCAATAATTGTCTACTGATCCATATGTTTTTTAGTGTTATTTAAGCTGATACCAGATTTCGCTGAAACTTGGATCTAAATCTCCACGAGTGGTAAATGCAAACATAAGGACAAATTAGTCATACCTTGTAATATGCAAACCATTTATTATATGTCCTTTGAATGTAGAAGGAAATTTTTGGTTGATTCCTTTGATGTGTCAGTCACTTTACTTTATCACCTGTCATAGTGTTTATCGCCTCGGTTATTATTAGAAGTCGTTTATGTGCATCTCGTAAAAAACACATAATTTCTATCGTAATCGATTCATTGTTATTTATTTCAATGTTCTTTATAGCATATATTAAGCTTCCTAGTTTTATTACCTTTCATAAGCTTTCGCTGACACTTTTTATTATGTTATTAATTTCTAGGGCTATTTTAAATATTACTGGAACAATAAAGGCAAGTTTAGTATTTATTTAGTTCTTAATGATTTTTAAAAAAAACTTTACGTAGTATTAGGATAGACTTTGATTACTTGAGATCTACCAAACATATTTATAGGCCAAATGTGAATGGATTTAAAATGGAAAAGTATTTATAATAACTACATTTCATTTTCAAGTACTTATGAACTTAGAATTAGTGCATAAAACAACCGATTTATGTACTGAGCCATTTATGTAGGTGAAAATCACCTGGTTGTGATCAGCGTGATTATCACAACCAATAGTAAGAGGCTTAGAATCGATCGAAATGGATCAGGTGCATTCACTCTTTATATTTCCTTAAATCCCAAGCTTATAAATTACCTTAAAAGTTTCTTTCATTATACTAATCCGTATCTGTCTTTCGAATAATATTTTCTATATCTAATCTTTCCTGTTACAACTAATACTATTACTACCTCTACTACTCTATATTTTCACAGCGTCATCATAATCTGTTAATAGATTGTGGTTACTTGAGCCAGTGCACACATATGCTAGGTTCTACATTAAATATAACTGACTGACTGAATTGTTTTTCCTGTGAAATTTGATTGTAAACGTATTGGTGAAAAACAATAGGACTCTTGTTTTCAATTAGTCAACTAAGATAGAGTTTCATCCAAGTTCTTGTGTGTTTTCTTTCTGTCATTTTAAATAGGCATGTGTTACTTCAAACTCCCATGTTGTCCACGAAATTATGATAAGCTCAACGTTTAACAATGATAATGTTGGATGTTGGGTTAGATTGTTTGTACAATTACTTTTATTCACCACATCTTGCAAAGTATGGCTTTCCTCTCTTCAGTCCATGAATCTTGAATTTCCAGATCTACCATGTTAATGCAGATATATTAACAATCATTTAGTGACATAGAATTTTATACTCATAGTTGAGACTTCTTAGTGAAAATATTTTCCGTTGAAAATTGGACAACAGCTACTACCTTTCTAAAAATGCTTTGAACTTCATTGTCCGATACAAATATATGAAGTAGAATGATCTTCGGTAGAGTTTTGTTCTCTGAGCTGGATGGTGTGGTCATGGAGCTTTCATCGTTCTTCTGAACGACATTATCAGCACAAACTTCAGGTAGAAGTGAAGTGTTCGAATTTCTCCACATATGGCTCACAGATTGTCCTGTACACCTCGATGCTGACTGGCCCTTGTTGACCTTAAACCTGTCATTATTTACTTCTTAGTTTTGGTTGTATCTCTCATTGGTCTGATTTTCGGTCCCATATTTGTCCATAATTTTCCTAATTGGTTGATGAATTGGATTGATTTCAATTTTGTCAAGTCAATTAAATTGCCAGTATTTCCGAGGTTAGAGGAGCAATAAAAAGCGTAATGGAACAAAATCTAGTGTCAATTAAATCTTGGTTTTTCGTATAAATACAAAAAATATGTAACGGGGACGTTTTATTACCGGTTTAGATTGTTGAATTTCATTGAAATTATCCACTTAACAAATACAAAAAACGAAGTGAACAAACAGGCGAGCAGGTGACGATCACTTATATGATTAGTAGTTGTGGTTTGTAAGAAACGCATACATGTAGCAGTAGTATAGTGGAACTAAATGTCCAGACTTTAGTACAACTAGAGGTCGAATGAATTGTTTTGTATAGAAGTAAAAGCCAAAGTATGTATTTTGTCTACTTCTACAATGACAGGTCAAAGGTCAACAATAATCAATCGAGGTCGACAGGACAAGTTGTGAGTCATATGGAGAAATTCAAACGCTCAACTTCTAGCTGAAGTTTGTGCTGATGATGTTCTTTAGAAGAACAATCAGAGCTCCACGATCAAACTATCCAACTCAGAGAACAAAACCCTACCTAAATATATGCATTTTGTGATTTTACAGCTTTGAGTATAAATTCGACGAAAATAGTACTTTTTAAATTAATCTTTCCGATTCTTATGCCTCTATGAGTTTATCAAGCAATTTTACCGAACTATTTGCTAAAATAACGGTAACCTGAATAACAAGTTTGTAATATTTTGTGTTTACCTAACTCGGAATCGACTTGATTACGTATACACTTACCTGCTCAACGTCATAAAATATTATATTTCATACCATTACTTGGATGTTAGTTAATGCTATTAGGCCGTTGTTTTTTTCACTTTTCATGCGTTATAATTTTCAATGGAATATTAATTGTGCTTCAGATTCCATCTTCATTGATAAATATAAACTTTATTGAATAAAGTCCTTTGATGTACATTTTGATGATCATGATATCTAGAATTCACCAATTTACAATAATACTGCATCATTTTACCATGTAATTATTAAAAAAAAATCCATTAGTTATTTTACGAAGTTTTTGGCTTGATTGATCTAAATCAAATTTTTATACATAAAGTATTCAACAGGAAACCCTGAACCTGAGTTACGTAATATTTGCCATTCATCAACAAGGCATAAATGTAATCTTTATGGAACTGACGTTCTCTGTGGTGTTCAAACTTGAGTCACCCAGCTTCACAGTCTGGGACATTACCACTTAGCTATTCATGTTGAGATCGGTCTCTTGCAGTACTGAGGTATTTACAATTTATTGATCATCAAGTGGCGGCCAATGTTATACTTATTTAGCTCTTTGGTGATCAACCACTTGTAAACACTTCAATCCTATATGATGTTACTCGCTTCCGAAATAGCTCAATGGTAACATCTTCGACTGTGAGACTGGTTAATGCTGATTCAAACACCAGACGGAAGTTCAGTCCTTTTAGCATTACAGCTGCAACTTGTTGGCGAGTGACAACTAATATGAAACCTAGGTTGACATTTTTATTCCAACTGACATCTCAATATGGTGAACACGATATCCAATCACTCAGACTAGTAGCTACAATGCAACTTGATCGATGGAATTCACTCTTCACTAGAAGAACTAGACAAACATAATTTTGGTCATTAATCAGTGAGACTAAGAAATGTTCAGTCTTGACTTCATAAGATATATATATATATATATATATATATATATATATATGTTGAAGGTCAATAAAAGTCTGAAAATATAGAATTCCGAATGAATGACTGTATGGAATTTCACTTACTATAAAACTTAAACATAGCGCAATCAGTTCTATATGGTATTGATGGTAAATACAACTGAAAATTTCTTAAGTAGGAGAACTATCGAGAAAGATGTTTTAAACTACTCACAGACATCGTGTTACTAATAAATTAACCAGTGATTGTCATTTTATCTATACCCAAATTTCACTTTCACCCAATGTTGTTAAGAATGTACACGTAATTCTGCCAACAAACTAGATACACGAGACCTTAAAAAAGCGTTCATGCATGATCATATCATCTTTAAATGAACTGTGAAAGATGTATCAACCATTTTGAATTATGTTTCGTGATGCACTGTGGATATCAATGATACATTTTATGTAATCTATCTGATGTAGTAAAACAATGAGCAAAATACTTTTATTTTGTTTTGTTTTTTCGCTTGCGCGCATTCAATAATCTTATTCTTTATCATTCTTCCGAGTTCATAAAAATGATATCCAAAGTATCTTTATGTAAATAAGTCATCGGTTACAAGTGACCTGTAGTGATTCATATGTACTAGTTTACTTTTTATATATGCTGAAAATAATTATTTAAAGCATAATTTTAAAAAATTTCTTATGATTCGTGGATTTTTTATTATAGATTTCTTGTCTTTATAGACTTACCAGATAACAATAATATTGAATCTGATCCATCATTAAAAGAAGTGAAACATGATAATAACGAATCTCAAGAACTAGTTATTAGCATAAATAAGAGTGGAATTTTATCAGCAATGAAAGAAACATTTCTTCCCGGAATTTGTGTTTTAATCACATTGATGATTACTCTCTCAATATTCCCAGCAGTTGCAAGACTTATCAGACCTATCACAGTTATCCCTCAAGATCTGTGGACAAGTAAATTAAAAATGTTTTCATTTTTATGCGATATTGCTTTGTACTGGTATGTGAGCGATATTTATTTATTTGAACCCATGGACACTGATACAAAGTAACACCAAAATACATATGCGACACACAATAAAAATGAGGTTGTGAAGAGATAATATAAATTGTGTGTAATAAAAAGGAACCACAACGAACAGAAACTAGTATATGAGAGTTAGACAATAATAATAATAACGGGAGAACTATTTCAGTTAAGAAAAAGTACGACCAGGATGAATTCATTCAGTGAAAAATTCACGTCTCCCTCATTTGAACAAATTAAAAGAATTTACAGCTGGACCACCACTGGCTTCTATTCGGAAAAATTTCTGATAATGTCTCAAACCATTGTGTTACGCCATCTCTACGACCCCAAACAAGGAATTGTGGAAGGTCAACGGAAACCAGTCCTGTACAGCTTTCTATCACACCACGGCACCATGTGATGCACTGACCACCTCTCCGCCTTTCCCAACGAACCCAAGCGTCGGCCGACCGTTGCTGCTACTTTGACTGGGTGGTCGGGCTTACTTATCGTGATGAACCAATCGAGCTATACCGGTTGGAACAATCGTTCCTCAAGGTCCTACCATGCCAGACAGGTCGGTTGAAGAGTAATAAGACCAAAAGCAACAAACCCAAGGTCCGAGGGCAAAGTTGTACTGCTGACTGTACAAAGGTGTGACGGCAGTAAGGTGTTTCCTTCAAAAAACAGCAAAACAGCGATGCTGCCTTCCAACAAGAAGGGGTGAGGTTAGAAACTGTCGAACCTAGAAATGCGCACCTCGCCTAGTACCACGGATATCCGTCTCCGGCGGTAAGGTCTCAACAAGTACGGAGCTAATACAAAAATTACTCACAATAAGGTCGTGTGTGACCGACCTCAAGCAGTTGCCCCTTAGGCTCTGCCGTCACGCTCTCAGGTCACTAAGACTACTTCTAATCCAATTTCGTCTTCAGGTACCTCTAGAAGAACCCTTCCACGGTGTGGGCAACCGGGAAGTGATAAATGCCCTCATACCTCTAACAGCACTCAAGATCACTGTATTCATAATCAATCTCCTTCTTCGCTTCCCACTATTCCTCCCACCTCGACTTTCGACACTGAACTTCCTCTTTCGGCTTCCTCCTCAAGTGTCACCATGACCAACTATTCTAGTGAGCAAAACACTGTCCTAGGTCTACTAAAACCTCGCTTCAAACTACACATTGGAGCCTTCAACGTACGTACCCTATGTCAACTCGGTCAGCCGGTCTCCTTGGCTAAAACCTTAGAATCGTGTACTATTGTGATGTATGCTGTGTTTCCGAAACACGCATACAGGATCCTAGTGTGGTCATTCACTTGACCTCACCTCGCCAAAATGGACAGCCAACGAAATACACTGTTCGTGTATCTGGCTACCCGATGGCTAGTTCTCATGGACTTGCAGGTATAGACATATCACTTAGTACGAGGGCAGAACAAGCACTATTGGAGTGGGTCCCTGTTAACAGTCGCCTATGTGCTGTTCAACTAAATGGCTCCGTAAGAACTCGGAAGGATAATGACACACGTCATTACTTTTTCATCGTTTCTGCCTACGCTCCTACTCACTGCAACCCTGATAATGACTTTTACAGAAAGCTCTCTGAACGTCTTTGGAAAGCTAGGCGCTCAGACATAGTCTTCGTAGCGGGTGACTTTAATGCCCAATTAGGCAGCTTAAATCAATTAGAATGATATTTAGGTGGGTATTTTTGTATTCCGGCTCAACGAGCCGATAATGGTGATCGCCTGTTGCAACTGTGTTCAGACAATCGTTTATTTTTAGCAAACACTAAGGAGAGACATCGTCTAACATGACGACCCTCTTCACCAAACCAACGATGAACTGAAATAGACCATATTATCATTTGTAATCGTTGGAGAGGCTCGATAGAAGATTGTCGCTCATATTGAAATACATGTTGAGACTGTGATCACGCTTTAATACTAGCACGCATCTGTTTGCGCCTCACTGGACGCCGGTGATCAACAATAAGTTCATGCGCCATTTGTTCCTCGAGAGTACTGGAGCCCATGTGCACCACTAGTTTGGAACCAGTGTTTCTCAACTCCCCAGGAGGATCCTTCGTATCCATTAAGTGATACTATGATTTCTTAACACTTTTCTTGCAATATTTCAAATTCACCATCGTTGTTTTCATTAAAGTCGTAAATTTGAATTCATTTCATACTCTTCATTTAAAAAGCCCATTCTTTTTTATCCCTATGACAAATAAGAAACTATTTTAGATCTAATTTATATGAATTTATTTTTTTGAATCTTCTCATTGATGTTTAGGGCTATAATTGATCATTCACTTTTGGAATTTGTGTATCCTGTGCAAATAGCGTCGATCCTGTTAATTCATAGGCATTTTAAGCAAAGATGGATGGTGGCTAGCAGTGGAATCCAGGACGAGTTCCAAATAAGACGAAAAGCGCATCCTGGATTCCACAACTGGCCTGCATCTGTCTCTGATTAAAAATATTTTATAGTTATTATGAATTCCTCAACTACTATCTCTGTTAAGAAGGTATTGTAATCGCATCTAGTGTACTACTAAATCTTGGACAACTGAAGACTGTCTAAGCTGAATTGGTTCTCAAAACATGTCAGCAGATGATATGAAAGCAAAGCTACATACAAACTATATACTCAGTATAGTTTTATCTACGAAATTTTCGCCAATCATCTTCATTTTCACACGAGTAAATATAAACAACTGCGGATTATTCTCATTGTAAATTATAAATATATATTTATTCTATGTTTATATATTTTCAGATGTTTATTTTGTGCCAGTACTTGTGTTTCTTTTGTACAATGTTGGTGATTGGTGTGGAAGGATGCTAGCTGGTTTTATAAAATGGGTAAATTAAGAAAAATGTTTGTGTTTTTTGAGTTGGTGTAAAATTTTCAGATTGATATGTAAAAGCAATTTCAGCTCGAATTAATATCTTTATTATGTGCTAAATATCTTTTCACTTTATTGTTATAATGTGAATCAATCATCTAGCCAGTGATACAATAGCCTTTTGAAAACACAAATAAACTGTCTTAATATGTAAAATATAACTTTGCACTTACGCAAATGTAATTGAACAGGGTTTCCCAGAGAATGCGGATTTCATCCACCTCACTTGTAAGACATCCCCAATATTTCAAAATTTCTTTTGAAATTATGGTTTACAAAATCAAGTCCTTTATGGTCGAAACTAGACGGGTATATCCAACTCGGTCTCTATTTATCAGAGTTATAGAGTTTGTTTGAGATTGGGTGCATTATTTTATGTCTGGTGGTCTTATTTTCCATCAGTAAACCCGGAACAGCATGGTTCACAATTCCTGGCTACTCATTTTCGGTTAAAATATAATGTAAGTTAAACTAAAATTGGACAGTTTATGCGATTATAATGAAGGTTTAATAATTAACTGCTTCAGTATGTTTTACTCAATATGTCATCAGTTTCTGAAAGGAATAAAGTTGGTCAACGCTAAAACAAATGACCGGCCTCTAGAATTTAAAAAAAGTTGACGTAAAGAGTCCTGCATATTTCCTCATTACGATTTCAGATACGATATCTCATTCTTGAAGTTGTTTAAAAGCAGGGTGGAAACTTTTTGACTAGATTACTAATCACCTGTTTGGTGAAATGTAATGATAATTCAGAAAAACAGCGGTACACGTTGGTAACTGTTTTCAGTTTCTGACTACGCTCCTGTTGACCGAAGCATTAATGAAACAATTCTATAAAACTCTTTCTGGCATCCAAAAAGTCAAATACTCTAATGTCGTAACTGTAGCCGGCGAATTTAGCATTCAAGTTAACGGAATTAACCAAAAAAGCAATCATGATCTACAGCCTGTTGCAAATGTAACAGTGACTTCTGTAAGCAAGACTAGTCAGTAACTTATTAAAAACCAGTGAACTTACGGGTTGGTGATCCAATGAAGCTGTCGAGATACGTGGTAATGTTCTAGAGTCAACCCCATACTTGCGATGCGATATACTTTTTAGCTTGACAGTTCGATCATACCATGACATAGTATCAGTGTATGGTTTTATTGATTATTTGTTTAGGACATTTTGAACAGATTGAGCTTTCTGGTTGACATCAGTGACACAGTCCTGGTTGTTGACCTCACATGACACGGCTTAAAGTCATTCTCAGCGAAACAAGTGTGCTCAATCTTTATTTTCCTTTAAATCTTGAATTTAGTGTTACTCCATAACTCATATTTTACTAACTTTTATTCTTTATATTTATTGTTTTACTGTAATTAGTATCATTATTTCCTCTACTTTATATTTTGTTCATTAGTTTCATCGTTGATATAAAGTGTAATAATATATTTCTGCGAGCTCTCACGTTGTCACTAACGTACTATTTTTTCCTAGTATCTTGTATTATTTTACTCAACGTATCTTTTTAAGTCTTTATACTTTATACAACGTAAAAGTTGACTACGAGTTGAAATATCTTCAAACCGTTGAACTTTTATTAGTGGTGGACATGTTATTTTGAATTTGTTTAATATATATGGGTTCGTACAATGAAATATTTTCCTTTTGAAAATAAATTGGTCTTTACTAATATTGAAACTATTCACAGTTATATTATTAACAATTTATAATGCCGAATACTTCTGTTCTAAATTTGTCACGATATTGGTCATTAATCAGTTTTCCGTTCCCCACTTTATCACTGTGAATGATTAGCCCACTTGCTTTTGAAAATTAATTTCAAACTTCGCAACTGATATATTACTAAGGATTTTCTTAACATCAATATTTATTGACCACTTTGTACTAGTGATTTAATTAAGCAAAGTGTAAAAATCTCACCAAGTTCATAATTGGTCGATCCGTTTATCATAAATGTGAATAGACTGATGTAATTGCTAGCATGAATACCATTACAGTAATATGATAGAATTATAAATTAAGAATGTCAAATTAAAAACTCGAGAAATGACCAATTGGAAGTGTATTGTGAACCAGTTAACAAACTACCGTACAGATTTAAATGAAAAACCGAAAATGTCCAATTTAGTCAATTTGATGGAGGTGAAGTTTCTTCTCATTTCATTGAAATTGCATGGAACAAAATTGATGGTTAATCAGTCGCAACGTAAAACCTGGTACGTATACACGTCAGATCAAGTTGCCACATCCTATTAGCTGAGCGGGATCAAATTGTTAGGATGATTCCTACAGTGTTAGAGGTAGTAGTATTAGTGATACTAGAGAAGACTAGGCAACGAAGAAATGATTCAAGAAAATTAGTGGGGTAAAAATTATAAAGAATTAGGAGGCTAGGATCTGAGGAAAGACAAAGAATGATATACTTGCGCCATTGCAAAAGATTTTGAGCCAACCATCAGTCTCTAATCAATAGTTACGACAGTCACACAGACTTCAACCAGGTTGTCTACATCTGTCAACATGGCTTAATCCGATTGTCACTTACTTTATGAACTTGTGCCATGACTTTGTCGCCTCCAACTTTCTTCCAACCCACTCCTACAGCTCACAACATCGCCCGTCGATATAGGCGATGGTCGGGCATACGTAACATATGTCCAAACCACCCAGTCGATGAAGGTTTACTACGTCACCAATTGATTTCATATCTTTACCTAATATCCTATCCTTTAACCCAGTCATTCTTTACTCAGTGGACCCAAAATACAAGAGTAATGCTTTGAAAAGACCTATGGTCGAATATCCTATTCTATTCTAAATGGTCATGTTTCACACCCATGAGGTAGAACAAAGCGAACTACTGTGCAGTAAACTTGTCTTTTGATTGGTAGATGTACATCTCGCCTACTTCACAAGTAACGGAAGGTGGCAAAAGCCAATTGAGCCTTCCGAATCCGTGCCAATATTTCGTCGAACGCCAGTCCATGAGGACTGATAGAATAAGTGAAGCTCTCGATAGGCTCAATTACTTCACTCCCTACCATTAATTCAGGCGCCGACGCAAGCCAATGTTTTGCATTTTCGCGGAGTAAACCGCAAACGTGGTTGTACTGTTATTTAAGGCTGTCAGATTTAGGGTGTCTTCATCAAACAAAACTAAATCATCTGTGTGTTCTTAGTCAACAAGTGAATTTCCCGGTTGACCAACCTCTGGAAAGTCAGACAATGAGAGTTGGAAGATCTGCACCCAGGTTATATTTAGTTAACTCTGCAACCACGCCTACCTAGGAGTGTTTCATTAAATAAAAGACCTTACTTGATCTACTTTTCATTGTGATTATTTAATTGGACCTTGTTGTTTTTACGTGTTCAGATCTAATTCTTTTGTTGGCGAAGTCACTGATTCAAATTTTAATCTAGTTATAACTTGTTTTTTTCATGTCCAATTATGCAATGGTCCTATTTGTTTTAAAGGAACTAGAGAGGTTATTTCATAACATGATTTTGTACAACTACCATAATTTCAAAATAGCACATCAACTGCGGTAATGTGAAATCTTTTTATTGGGTCTTTTCTACAGCCTAGAAGAAATCGAATGCTATTAGTCTTGTTATTATGTATTCTACGTGCTGCTGTCATCCCATTATGTATGCTGTGTAATGCACAACCTAGATATTATTTACCAGTCGTATTTAAACATGATATTTTCCCAGCACTCATAATTCTATTTTTGGGACTAACTAACGGTTATCTAGTATCGATATCAATGATACATGGACCAAGGTAAGTGTTTTTTTTTCTGTGGAAATATTCGTCACCGATAGTTGAATTAGTACTGATTCACTGTATAATGTAGACCTAGTTTTGAACCTTTTGATTCAAAATTTTGAATGTTATTCATTTCATTCACAGTACAGTTAAACATTATCACTTAGCAGCTATTGGATAATCGGTTACCGTTATTATTATGATAGAGAGTAATAAATAACTACAAATATTTCAATTTCAGATATGAATATTTGTTTTTTTTCACTTAACATTGACAGACAAATCAATCAGTCATGTGCAACTTAGAGAGTGGTATATATATGGATTGGTTCAAATTGCTGCACTTATATTAGCATGGTTTTCTTCCAACTTACTTCTATATCACAAAACACTACCCATTAAGGTATTCGGTGTTTAGGGATAAGTAACATATGTCTCACTCATCATAGTCGGTGAACATTCACTACCTCACCAACCTGTCCGCCTTCTTTATCTACCATTGTCAGTCTAACTTCAGCACTGCACACTCAGGGGTCCCAACATTCACAATGTTTCTGAAGCATCTATGATCGAATTCTAGTAACTTACGAATATGAGAAACATAAGGCAATAACTACTGTTAGGTTGTTGAGAATTTAATTTGTGAAGCACAGTTCAGAACTAAGATTCGATAGCCAAATCCATTTAACAAACTCATCTCTACAATATTTACATGAATGGATATAAGTAACTATTATCCCTCCTGAAAGTGTGTTTTCAGTGCACATTTGTTAGTTAGGATTCAACTAACTACATTTTAGATATTATTACATGAAGTTCTTTCCTGACTCAAGTTATCGTTTCGCGTGGTTTGCTCCAGGACGTAATTCCTCGAGTCTCCCATGGAATTTTTGAAATTCAACGACACTAATCAATAGTACCATTCATAAACGTATCGTAATATTCAACAAGATACAAGATAGTGATGTTGTTCGGAATTTGAGGGACTTAGATATGTTAGTTCACGAACTTCATGCAGTTTATTGAGTACAGAAAATGATTTTGCAAGGATTACTTATTTATCCTCGTAATTTCTTGGCTGACTTACAAGGTATTACCACGAATTCTGAGACTTTAAGTGCTTCAAAGAGAAACTGATTATATATCCATTCACTTTCCATTAAATCTCGAGAAGTCTATTTTTCTGTGGCTTCACATCTATCGTCCTTTTCAATCATTTTTTTCCATTTGCGGTGCTGATATCAAGTGTAGCGAGTAAAATCAATATGAATTTCGTTAACATTCTACACGATTTCTACCTGCTTGTATATCACAATTTGTAATTATCACTGTTGTTTTTGTTCCTGTTGTTATCTTACTAATTATTCTATGTATGTGTATGATTAAACTTTCCTGTTTTCGATGTTTATTGTTTCGTTTAGTTTCGCATCACCTGGTAATCAAGAATCCGCTGGTGCAGCATTAAGTATATACTTATCTTTTGGATTATCATTTGGTGTTGCCATATCAGTTGGTTTAGCACAAGGATTATAATCAATTGTACGCGCGTTTGTTAGTGACTTAATTTTATCGATGCATCCATCACAAAACAGTTGAAGAACAAACAATTGACCTTTTTTGGCCACATATTTTCATTATTTATTTATTTGTAAAAGAATGGAACAATTAGTGTTTAAATTTAAAACTTCTATGAATGTACAGATGGTAAAATTCAACAAGTACTATTCTCCATGATTGTTGAAGGTGATTCTGAGTTTGTTGTATGTTCACTATCTTCCTTGGGATATGATGGTTGTAATTTTGATCGGAAAAAATCAAATATATGATGTAATACAGTACTAGGAATAAGATCATGTTCTGTTGTGCCTTAAATTAAAAGAAAAAAAGAAAAGAAAAATATTGATAAGCATTATAACCGAGGATGGATGGTGGCTAGCAGTGGAATCCAGGACTGATGGACACAACTCAGGTAGCCTACATCTCCCAACAAGGTCAGCACATATAAGACTGTATCAAGAGAAAAACTCTACTGGTAAACTAAATTAAAACAAGCACTTTAAAAGAGTATTTAAAGGTAAATGTGGTAATTAATTTTTAAAAAAAACCTACTTGATGAAAGTGTTGGAATAGCATGTCGTTGTGCATTAACTTGTGGATTGAGTCGTGTACCTAATTTAAGATTGGCCGCTACATAGTTCACTGAATTCTGCATTGAAAATATAAAAACATTGTTTGTAGTAGTAGTAGTAAATTAAAAATGAAAGTAGATATGTAAAATTTAGACACATCAACAATGGTGTTATGACAGACCAATATGAAACATTAATACATAATACTTTTATCTACAGTTGTCTAATTAATTTAATGAAGTTTGATCAAACTCATCAATTATCATGTTTAGGAATTGTTGGAAAATTTTCTTGAATATCATCCATTTATTATGTAGTAGTTATTCTTTAAAAAATGATTATCAGTTTATACCACCCTAAACAATCCAAAATTGTGATAAAGTGGTGTAAAATGAAAGATATTCAAATTATATTCTTAGTTGAATAATAGTTAGGTACATGATAGTTAAAGTTTGGAGCAAACAAGGATTAATATGCTTTATAGTTTTGTTCACATTTTATAGGTACACTAAAATGAAGGTAGATTCCTTAAAATACGACAATTAGAACTGTTCGTGATATGATCCCAATTTATGAATGACTTTAACAAAATATTAAGCGTAAAAATACCCTATCGCAAGTGAACAACAATATGTTCTTTATCAGTATAAGGGATTTGTGGAGATTATGGCATTTTAACGGTTGAACTCGCCCTAGTATGGTACTTCTTAGCAGTGCGCATACATACTAGGAAGGAATGGTCGTCCATTGCTTTCACGTCTTTAATGGAGGTCTAGCTTAGATCGACTAGTAAATTTAGCTATGAAAATGTGTTCTTTTTTCATAAAACTAACGTACCTGTGATAACCATTCTCTGAATTGTAAGACTTTTTCTGGTATATTTTGCTGATATATTGTAGGCTTATAAATAGAGGGTAATTCACTGTCATTATCGCTCTGTTCATTAAGGATATTTAACCCCCATCCAACCCCAGCCGCACATAAATCCAACACATCTGCTGAGTCAGTAAATACAACAGCTTTTACACGACTTGTTAACTCACGCCATAAACGCTCTGCTTTACGTTGCCATGCTCTTGCTAAACGTAATTGTAAAAACTCATCTGAATTATTATTGTCATTTGAATTGATATCAGACCATATACCAACACTTTTAGGTATGACACCACCATGTTTAGCAAAAAGCATGGCATCCAAGTCACTACCACTTAATGCTGGTAAGTTATTAACACATAATCTATTCTCAGCTGGATTTGTAATATAATTTGAGGCATTTTTCTTTGAACTGCGTTTAGCTAATAAGTCATTATCATCTGGTAACCAAAATGCACGTCTTGAAGCTTCTGGGGTGACATGATGTCTCCAGGGTCCATAAATACGTCGGTCGAACCATAAACGTCCAGTTGAAACTGCAAACAATTAAAGTTTAATACAGTTCAGTTGTGGCTATATTTCGGATGTTAAAACAGTAGCAAAACTTTAGTTGTATATAAAGTTTACCATATTTGAGGTTCATGTTACATTTATTTACAAACGTAATTATAAAATGCTAGAAGAATATGAAATTTTTGTAGGACATTCAAATAAGCTTTTCGTTTGAATACATTATTTCTTTCGTTCACACTAAATAATGGGGAAATTTGACGAGAGTTTTGAACTTATTTTAACTTTCACTATTTAATCAAACGGTTAGAAGATTGATGAAGGCCATTTAAAATGTAGCAGGAGATTTTAGATATTAAACAGTTCCAAAGTAATTATTTCAGAAAAATCTGAAACTCAAATATCGTTAAGCCTTCGGCATAACTACATGGACTTGTATCTCACGGACGAATCGATCATAAATAGCGATCAAAATTTCCGATTTAGTCGAATGGATATTAACAGTGATCTGAATTTAAAAGTTAGTACATAATTAGATTCAAGTTAATTCTTATCACAAACTAATACTATTCAGCGATTCACTGAAAACCGGTAGACACTATTTGTTTGTAATAGTCTGTGATTCCTAATAATCATGTTACTAAAATTCTGTCCCGGCATCAAAAACAGGAACTGCAGACCTTGTAGTGAACAATTCATTTTTACACGACTCAGCAGGAATATAGAGGCTTATATGTACAACATTGTATTTGTACTATGGGGAGGTTGAGTATGCATTGATGAGAAGTCAAATATTTTTACAGCACTCCATGGTTTTCATTAGTTATTTACGTGATATCTTTATTAATAACATTTCAAACTCAATACACTGAAAAATAATTTGTAATCGAGTGACGCATTATTTTTCTTGCGTACATACAGATGCTAGCTAACTGGTACTGCATGCATTAGATTCTAGAGTAAAGAAGAGACTGCTATTTGTTCAGCTTGTACAATATTTTCATGTTAAATGAGTCTAAAAGAATTTCGAATGTAGGTTTTTACCTTCATATTGTGACCGGGATTGCACATAGTGACAACTCAATCCAGCCATATAAACTAAGATACACATTTCTCTAGGTAGAATGACTTGAGAGTAGTAATATTAAAAGCAGCAAACCCATGTTCCGAGAGTGAATGAATACAGTTGCGGCAGCAGTAAAGTGTTTACCTCAAATAATATGCATCTACAGTGTGCTGCCTTTTCATAGCGGGATAGAAGTTAGGGAAGATCGACCCTAAAAGTGTCACAAATCACTTTGGACTCATGCATTTTCGTCGCCGATGGTAAGGCCTTAAAAGCATGGAGCTAGCGAATATAAAGGTCATCTGTGGTCGGCTTCAGGGATTTGTCTCTGAGGCAAAGAGAGCACACTCCCAAGTGTTCAAGACCACATCTAACTTAATTTTATACTCAGATCTTTCTAGAAATATCCTAAAACTATGTGGGCAACCGAAAAGTAAAACCCGCACTCATAGCACTAACGTTATTAAAGGTTATGCTGATCGTAATTAAACTTCGTTTACAAAAGAATAATATACAACGATTAAACACACAAGTTAGACATGAACACCATTGGATGCCGGCTTAATGGTCTAAAGGTTAAGCGTTCAAGACCGAAGGTCCTGGGTTTTAAATCCCACGCGCGGTACCGTGGATGTGCACTGCTGAGGGGTTCCATACTAAAACGAGACGGCCGCCCAGTGCTTCCAGGTTTTTAATGGTAGTCTAACACTGATTGGTTTATGATTTCAGTTAAAACGTAAATGATTAGTATTATGGATGGGGCAGTTTAAAATCGTCAGTCACCAGTTTCAATGACAAAGAAATAGTGTCGTGAGGTTTCTAGAGTTTAATCTATATAAAATTGATGTACAGAGTTTACTTTAATTTATGTAATGATATGAAGTTATTTTAGATGGCGACAATCGTCTGTACTCTTCATTTTCATTTAGGATTACTAGCTAGACCCAATTTCATACAGAGAATGAAGTGTTCACTGATAATGACCAGTTTATCTACACGGTATACAGCATTGAGTCTAATAAACTGACAGACGATGGAAGTTCGAGAGTTATTTGAAAAAATGTAGCCTACGCTATTTATGGGATCGAAATGAAGAAAGAAAACGAAATATAAATTTGAACAAACTGGACTTTAGTGCGGCTGTTGCTGAATTTAAATAGTATAGATGTAGCACTAAAAAAAAAACTTAAACCATCAACTGATTAATTTTGTTTCCATACCCTTTCTGATAACATTTAATTTTAATTTCCACATTTTATCTCAACTTGTTACCCAAACAGCTTTTCATAATAAACATTATTTATTTAACGTCTAAGATATTTTCTAATGAATATTTTAATATCTTACCAATCATATTTAAGGGATTTTTTTTCAATCAACCTATTAATAATCATTAAAGTAAAAATAAATTATATGTTTTACGAATGTACAGCTTTGAGTATAGGTTCATCGAAAAGAGTACTCTCGACCAAAATAATCTTTTTCGTTATCACCTCAATACAATGCAAACGTGAAGTCCATTACGTAATAATAAAAAAAATTATTTATAAGTTGATAGATTTATCATCCATTTACTGAAATAAGGATTACCTTTAGGAAGCATTTCTCCGATTTCATCAGGAATTGTATTGACAGTCACAAGAGGTTTATTATTTTGTTGAGATTGTTCATAATCATTTGTAATAAGAGGCAAATTATCATTTGTAGGCTCCAAAATATGTGTACTTTTACGTGTACCATTTTCATTTTTATGAGTCATAAGTATAGGTCCAGAAGATAAATGACGTCTTCGTGTAAAACGTATTTTTGATTTGTCGATATTATTGATGTCATTGTTATGATAATCACTGGGTACATTAATATATGCGACTTGTGTAGAAGGATAGTTTCCATCACATTCATTAGATAAACGTGATTTTTTAGAGGTGATATGTGATACTGAATCAGTCAGAACAACTGGTGATCTGAATCAAACAAGAAAGAAAAAGAAGTTTCGACAAATAAAATTCAAATATCTTTAATTCATGGTTACTTTGCTAATGACCTGACCATCCTGATGGGAGATCTAAACGTTAACGTCGGAGTGGACAACATAGGGTATGAAGATATAATAGGACGACATGGACTAACTGAGAGAAAGGCGAGAGATTTGCAAATATATGTGCATTCAACAAATTGGTTATAGGCGGCACAATATTTCCACACAAACGCAGACACAAAGCTACATCGATCACACCACAGAGAACCAGATAGATCATATTTGTATCAACAAAGAATTCCGAAGGACAATGGAAGATGTGAGAACCAGGAGAGAAGTTGACATAGCTTCAGATCACCACCTGGTTGTGGCCAAGATGAAACTGAAGCTAAAGAAACACTGAACAACTGGACAAGCAGCATTACAAAGATTCAATACAGCCTTCCTTCGAGATACTGACAAACTCAACGAATTCAAAATATCAACGACAGGTTCTAAGCTCTGCAGGATCTACAGAAAGAAGAAACTACGATGGAGGACAACTGACCCAGAACCTCCTGACAACGTGTCAGGAGGTTCTCAAGCTATACAATTGAAATAATGGATTGTTTCAGGGAATTAACTTTTTGTAGGTGTAAACCTGTAATTCCATGTACCATTAGACTAATCATAAACATAGTTATAATGTCTGATGGAAAGCCTGCTTTTAAATGATTAAAAACTTTGATTTTTAAAGGATCAGTATTTTACAAATCTTATGTCGTTATTATAGGAGATAGCTACTGTAGAGAGCGATTATTATATTAAATGTGTGCAGAATGAATCGGTATCGTCAATAGCCGACGATGATGTTTCTCCAAATATCCAGTATAAGAATAATTTAGGCAAGTTATTGGTTATAGATGTCAATTCTTCGATCTTCGAGTGGTAGATGGATCTTTCACCTGAAACAGATGGTCAATCGCATATATACATGGTTTACTATGCGTTGTTCATGAGCGAATCTCATGGTTCCGTTGTTTCACAGAAGATCAAATAAAGAGCATTACCTTTTTACTATTGTTAGGAGCCGCAGACTTTTTTATGATTGACTTTGTTTATGAAACATACGGAGAGCGAATCATCGGACAAGTTATTTACAGTATGTGCCACAGTGTGTTCTATCAGTTAAAACTTGGAGATTTGTTTAATGGTCTGCATAGTGCTAACTTAAAAGATAATTTTGCAAAATTCGTAGCAGACATCGTCCAGCTAGGAAGCGAAGAACAGTGCAGCGTTTTTTTCAGAGTTCACATGAGTCAGAACGTTTTACAGCGAGTGAGCAAACATTATTTGATCATTATTTCTCTAAAATACGTCAACAGTTTACGAAGGTAATATACACAAGAAACACTGAGCGGTAAAACAATGTGTTTGGTCCATTAATACTACTTTTAAATTACAATAGTACATTAACGCAATTGAACAGGAAAATCCTACCTTTTTACGTTATCTTGAGAACAACCTATTGACGCAGAAAAAAAGATATTTTATTGGAAACCGTCGTTGGATGAATTTAGTAAACTTGGACGATTTCCACACCAGAATAAACCCTTTTCCTCTCAAAAACTTCTAGTTACTTTTACCGACATTATTCAATTAAAAAAGTCTTTTACGTAGTTAAATTCAGGCGTGATTTCTTCGAAGTATCTCACTTAGTGATCTACTTAAACATGAATGATACTTATATGATTGATTCATTTCACTGTAATTTAGTCATTTCAAGTAACTTTTTTATACTTCTATCATGTGATTGTATAATTTCTCATATCGGCTATTTCCATCTAGTTTCTGTGTATTCTGTTTGTTTGACAGATCATCTATTAAGAAAACAACCTCACATTTTTCGTGAAGTGGTTTGTTTCTAATATCAGAAGGGGTTTTGCGGATATTAAAGTAATTTCAATAGTTGAGATCATGAGTCAATTGAAGCTAGACCACTATGATAAACTTGGAAGCACTGGACGACCGTTTCGTTCTATTGTGGGACTCCTCGGCAGTGTGCGTCCACGATCCCGTCTCACTATATTTGAACCGAGGACCTATTAGTCTCGCGCGTGAGCCCTTAACCTCTAGACCACTGAACCGGTATCCAACGGTGTTAACGTCTAACTTCAACCGATCCACGAAATTCAGCGACACATCCACCATTGTATTCAGAGGGTTACTATCTCACAACAGACCTAGTTGAACTCCACTGGTCACTGCTTCTCACTAGAACTCCAGGAAATAATATAATATCCACGATAATAAACACAAGACACCTTCTGATATTAATCAACATATGCTCACTAGTGACTAACTTCAAGAGGTATTACCTGGAATTCTAGTGAGAAGCAGTGACCAGTAAAGTTCAACCAGGTATATTATGAGACAGTAACTCACTGAAGACAATGGTGAATGTGTCGCTCAATTTCGTAGATCGGTTAATTCGTTTTTGTTAAAAAATAGAACATGTCATTAAATATTGTGCATGCATTGAATTCATTATTACTACGTTTTTAAGTGGAAGTTCTATTAGAAATTCATAATGTACAGCCATTAACATTCCTAAATGCATTACTTATGTACTACTACACAAACAATTTCTTCAGATTTCAACCCTCAGGATAAGTTACCTTATTAGTTAAACAGTTTATAATAAGTAAACAAGCACATAACCAATCAAATAAACCAAATTCTAAGGAACAGAGAAATTCAAAAATTTGATACCTATCCCGTTGAGTTGTTCATCGACATATAGTGTTTTTAGTTAATTAACATATAAAGTAGTGTATTGAAATAGAAGGATTACATCATACCAGATATCAAAACGACGATTGTTATGCAACTGTCGTTTTGATATCTGGTATGATGTAATCCTTCTATTTCAATACACTACTTTATATGTTAATTAACTAAAAACACTATATGTCGATGAACAACTCAACGGGATAGGTATCAAATTTTTGAATTTCTCTGTTCCTTAGAATTTGGTTTATTTGATTGGTTATGTGCTTGTTTACTTATTATAAACTGTTTAACTAATAAGGTAACTTATCCTGAGGGTTGAAATCTGAAGAAATTGTTTGTGTAGTAGTACATAAGTAATGCATTTAGGAATGTTAATGGCTGTACATTATGAATTTCTAATAGAACTTCCACTTAAAAAAAAACAAAAAAAAACGTAGTAATAATGAATTCAATGCATGCACAACAACGACAGTTGCATAACAATCGCCCGACCGTTGCTGCTACCTTGACGTGGTGGTTGGGCTTGCCTATCGTGATGATCCAATCGAGCTATGCTGGCTGGAACAATCGTTCCTCAAGGTCCTACCATGCCAGACAGGTCGATTGAAGAGCGGTGAGACTAAAAGCAGCAATCCCAAGGTCCGAAGGCGAAGTCGTACTGCTGACTGTACAGAGGTGTGAAAGCAGTAAGGTGTTTCCTTCAGACAACCAGCATGACAGCGATGCTGCCTTCCCACAAGGAGGGGTGGGGTTAGAAAAGGTCGACTCTAAAAATGCACACCTCGCCTTATCCCACGGATTTCCGTCTCCGGCGGTAAGGACTTTTGAAGAACGGAGCTAACACGTCAAAAATCCCCCACAAAAAGGCCGTGCGTGACCGGCCTCAAGCAGATGTCCCTTGGGCACTGCGGTCACGCACCCAGGTCGTTAAGACCAACACTAATCCAACTTCTTTTTCAGGTCCCTCAAGAAATACCCTTCCACGGTGTGGGCAGCCGGGAAGTGATACTAGCCCTCATACCCTTAGCTGCACACAAGACCAAGTTGGTCGCTTTCAAATCCTTCCTACACCTCCTAATAACTCTCTTATCTCCACGACTAACCCTTCCCACGTCCTTTTATCACCTCGCACCGCTAGGGCAAACGATTCGAGTACACAGAACGTTATTTCTGGTCTCCTGAAACCACGCTCTAAACTACATATAGGAACTTTTAATGTCCGAACATTGTGCCAAATAGGACAACAGGCTTCCTTAGCTAGGACTCTAGAATCTTACACCATCGATGTGTGCTGCGTCTCCGAAACGCGCATACAAGATCCGAGTAGTGTCATTCATTTGACCTCACCTAATCAAAATAAAGTTTCATCTCGATACACGCTTCGTGTATCTGGAAGCCCTGACGCTGCTTCCCGTGGCCTCGCTGGAGTAGGTATAGCATTAAGTCCTAGGGCAGAACTAGCTCTTTTAGACTGGATCCCAGTAGACAGTCGTCTATGCGCTGTCCGACTAAACGGATCAGTAAGGACTCGGAAAGATAGGGAAACTCGTCGTTGCCTCTTCGTCCTCTCTGCCTACTCTCCCACTGACTGCAGCTCAGACGATATAAAAGATGAGTTATACAGGTAACTTTCTGACCTTCTCCGAAAAGCTAGGCGCTCTGATGTAGTAATAGTGGCAGACGACTTTAATGCTCAAGTAGTAAAATAAGTGAAAGGGAAAGACACCTGGGGGGATCTTATGGTGTCATGGCGAAAAGAACAGATAATGGCGACCGTCTGTTGCAGCTGTGCTCAGATAACCGCCTATTTCTTGCAAATACTAACTTTAAGCATAAGGAAAAACATCTTTTGACATGGCGACCCCCGAATTCGTCCCAACGTTGGACCCAATTAGATCACATCGCTATCAGCCACCGATGGAGGGGCTCGATTGAAGACTGTCGCTCATTGTGGGGCACATGTTTAGATTCAGATCATGCTCTAGTGCGAGCACGTATCTGTCTGCGTCTTACTGGTCGTAGGAAAGACACTGCAGGGAAGCCTCTAAGGGTTCTACTTAATGATAGGCAAGCTAAGAATATATATCAGGAACAACTAGAAAAACAGTTAGGCAGCCATGTAAGTTGTGTCCACCCCGAGGCAGCGTGGAATGACATCCGAAAAGCTGTGGAAACAGCAGTGATGTCCGCTAGTAAGGTAAACCATAACGTTAG